TCGCTGAATTAGAATAATAAAGAGGGCGCAAGCGGGACTCGAAGCACGCGCAGGGAATCGCGTGTAAACTGATATCTGATGTAGACGTGGATGGTGTATAAGCACTACTTCCCCCGTGGCACGGTGAGTCGCTGAATTAAAGTGGTAAGATACAAATACGGGATATTTTTGAGGCCGGCGTATTTAAATCTACCAATATTTTTTAGAAACCTAACCATATGATATCACTCAATAGGGGGTGCAGGGTCAAACCTCACCTTCTAATCATTTAATTTACCCAGTTTACATCTGAATAAAAGTGCCAGCACCGTCTTTCGTCGAGATTAGATCTGTGAAAAGTAGTGCTGCTCAAAACAGAATGCAAAATCCGCTTTATTATAATGCAATCCATTGCAGATAAGAAGATAAGGAGAAAAATAAACCGCTGGTTGAATTCTTGGGAAACCTGAAATCTGGTCAAAAAGAGAAAACCCCCCAACACATTTAGGAAATGCAATAGATCATAAACAACGATGCCTTAAGTCCCTTGTCTCAAAAGATACTCATATATCGCCGGTATTTCGTCACATCTCTGTCGGTTGAAAATGCGTAGACGTAGGGTTTTCTACTTACAGTAAAGCACGCCTGAACGCCGTTTTTTCGGCATACATATAAGCACAACCATGCCAAATGGATTCAGTCCCTAAATGAAGACAACAGTAACAAACGACAGTTCACTTTGACCAGTCTGACACAGTGAGATGGGGTTCTGGAGAGTCTGACCTGTTTTTTTAATTCAAAACTTTAAATGTAATCTATACGTGCGGTGAGAGTGAACGTAATATCCCGGGTATAACTTATGCGTCAGTTCGAAGGAATGGACAGTCTCGCCCAGATGCGGGAAGCGAAATGGGCCAAGTTGGGGAGTAGCCTATCCTCCCGGTTTGTAACTGACTCCATAACAAATTTCAATAACTTGGACCATTATTTACACTATCGAGACCCCCACCATGTTGTGGGAACAGTTGTTTCAGCCAAGGACAAAGAAAGGCTAGGAACATTCGATGATGTGCCAGCTGCAGGCAGTTTCAGGAAGTTTTGATCTACTTTGGCTGATAGATGCCATCTTAAGACATTGTTCCAGAAATCAGTATTTCCTCTCTGACTTCACAGAATGCCTCGATTCAAAACAAGTAAAATCAATTTTTCTCATATGTGACAAGAAATCTTTACTTTAATACCGCATTCCTAAGGATAAAATTTGTTCAATACAATTATTCACTGAAATGCTTCAAGAGAATTTTTCAACGAAAATCAGCTTATCGATGGAAGCTCAGCGAATCAGAAAATGTAAAATTGAATATTTACCTCACAGTATGCTTCGTAAGTTTATACCCCAACGGGAACAATTGAGAGGGCAACAGTTCCTTTTATGAAAGAAGGCTTATTCTGGGCAGTTCCCAAATATAAACGTGAAATATTTTAAAGAACACGGCATCTGAGTTTTATGATTACTAACTCGGATATCCGTCAGATTTAGAGAAACAGACTTTTTCCAAACGGCGTTCTCACTTGTTCATACTGTTTATTGCAAGCTTAAGGTCTTCTCCGGCGTTCGGTTGATGACCTATTTATTCAAAATCGGGTAAGGTGAAAACAGTAGCATCTGCCATGTACTTCTGTTCATTAAATTTGTGCCAAGAAGACTATCAGACGATCGCTCCGCATAAACCGTCAAAAAGCAACGGACTTTCTGTAAGCGATTGATCTCGCCTTTTTCGGGCGGTACCTCCGAGGTAAAGATTTGACTCTGGAAGAAATATTTTGATAAGTTTTCCGAAGGGAAACGCTGATTAAATGACGTTTCAGGGCAGATAAGCGGGACTAAACTCGGAGACATATCGTCAATCACTCAGCCGGTGTTTCGCCTTGGTACCATCAGTGTCTAATTCTTCACATTCCTCGGACCTGAACTAGGCAGACAATTTCATGTCGGGGCTTTTCCACAGTTTTTTCTGAAAGCTGCTTTGAGCGTAACAATTCTTATAAACAATTCTGTCGACGGCGTTCGAATGAGCACCAGCTTGACCAAATGCGCTAAAGAAGCGGGAAAAGGCAATGCGTTTGGGATTAGAATGGGTTACTTAGGTGGGGTTGTAATACTAATTGTCATATAACTTAATCACAACATATTTCAGTCAGTGCCAGGGTGCCGACTTTTGAATGAACTTCCTACCGACCGCCTAAAAAAACAACCATCGTCCAAAATCATTGCTTATGTAGTGTGTAGTCACCAGATAGCACAATTGAACAAAGAGTACCAGAGGACATCGAAAATCAATGGGAAAATGCATAATACATAAGCAATTATTTTGGCCGATTGTTGGATTTTGCAAGCTATCGGAAAGAGGTTCATCTAAAAACTGGCATCCTGGCGTGACTGAATTATTCTGGAATAATGCCGCATGATAATAAATATGACAAACCCACGCAAGTAATCCTTTCCAAGCGCGAAAAACTGCAGTGTCGGTTAACAGTTCATGAGCTGGGCCATATTCTGTGTATAGTAGACAGCTTTCCAGAAGTTTTAAGTGGATACAACATTCAGTAATGTTCTAGAAAAGTAAAGTTAACAAAGACATTTTTAATACTTTAATTTTTCTCGAAGTTGGAATATGGACTTAACAATTATTTACAGATACTAATATGCGCCTAAGTACTATATGAATTGTGTCTATCCCCAATGAGGTCCAAGTTTCACGCTCTGCATGCTCATTGCAGCGAATGTTATGGGTCTATTCATACCCCTATGGACAACCATGGGTGTAGGGCCCCCAACTAACTTGAACTAGCCTTCAGACCGTGTCATACGTTGAATGGTGGTAAAGGAGGTTTTACGTGTGGAGCAACACACAAGACGGAGAACAAGAAGGCATAGAAAATAGATAACTTTCTGCCGAAAGTCTTTTCGCACACTGTCACTTAGCAAAGAAGGCGAAGGCGATAATTCAAAAATAAACAAAGAACAATTTTCGAAAATAACGGACTTTGAATAAAGCGCTGTTGGCAAGTCTACATTTAGTTAGGAAGGGAAGGAAATCTCAAACAATGGGAACGGCAAATAATCAAGGATGAGTGCAGTCACACAGCATTTTTGCAGTTGCCATCTACATGTGGGTCCTGCACCCTATCGTTACATCCCCCCTTCGCTATGAAAGGGCTTCGTACTGCGCATACAACGCTGCCATCGATTCGGGGAATTTCCCATACGTTAGAAGCAGCCCTGGAAGTGCTACAGGCAGCATAAACGGTCACACCCGTCGCTCATGAATAATCAATTATTTCTTTAAAAAATGTAATAATCTTATTCCTCAGGTATTCCGTTTGAATAAGCCCCAGTATCCCACTGAAATCATGAAAGAAATACGTTCTTTGCAATCTTTTTGAAAATCACAATTAACTTTATACCACTGGGAAACACATACAGCATATGGGGTAAAATTTTCGACCGTAATTCACAGAGACGTCTGCAAAGATACTCCACTAAAGTTTCCTGTACTCTCGTGCAGGTCGCGTCCTGGAGGGTTGTACAGGTCTTTATCTTACTTCCGATTAATATTCATCCTTTTTAAATTTCATCGAAACTTTCGGCCCACAGTTCACATGGTTTCAGCGTATAGCAGATATCAGCCCTAGAATTCAGAATGAGAACACAGCAACATATGGTAATATTTTGTACAACTGAACTAGGGAGTTGAGCCAAACAGTGTTCATAGAAGTTAAGGCTGCTGTCTGAGTCTCTTTACTCAATCGATAGAACAATGCTAACCGACTGCTTCAAGCTTGAGCGAGGATGCATAGGTAAACAATTTCCTCCATGTGCTACGAAGCTCACTCAAACTCGAAAGGCAGCGGAGAAGTAATTGGGCACAGATCCAGGCGGTCGGTTTGTCTTTGGAGGCGCCGAGGGGAGTTCGGTTGAATCGTCCTTGATGCTTTGGGAGAGAAAATAATGCAAGTGACCGAATATATTTTCTACTGTCAGGATTCCAAAATTATATTTCTGAGGTGCTAAAACAATTTGCTCAAAGATTTTGCAATAAAAATCTAGGATACCCCTCAGATTCCTGGACAGTGCACACCAAAACCAAGCAAACAACGCTCAGTACTGAGTTTACACATAGAACTGCCTTTGAAATAACATGGTTTGCTTGTGGGACGGAGAACGAGCGTTCCGTTTGGCCTTTAATTTCTTTTGTCTAGAGGACCAAACACAGCCACATAGTGAGAGGTGGTCGGTAGAATGGAAGTTTCATTGGCAGAAAGAGGGGATTAAGTTTTGTTTCTGTATAAACAGGAGCCAAGGGTTAAACAGGAAGGTTGCATTTCATACTGCAATCAGCCCACCTTGGTATTCAACACACCTAGGTACTTTTTACGTTTACCATGCAGGTGGAGAGAGATTAGTCTCGTGGTCCAACTGACGATCATTAATATCAACGAGAAAGTGCATGCAGTGTCAAACATTAGGCTGCTGCAGTATGTGCTGGGGGTGTGGACGGCTGACGGATAAAACCAAAACGACTGTCTGAACCGCCCTTCGTCGGAAATATTGCCCAGGTGGAGTCAAATTTGCAGTAAATTTAAGTAGACGGGAATCGAGAAAGTTTTATTTGGAATCTTTTCAATCGTCTTCCAAATGATCTTTGCTGATGCTAAGCACGTCCCCGTCTAGAATTTCACATCCGTGCCGCCGCCTGATATGAGTGGGAAAGCCTGCTGAGACATGTAGTTTGCGATCTGAGCCTTATGCTTCAATTACTACAACGGAATCCAGATAGCACTCATTACCATCCGGGTCACATAGTGATCGGTCAGTACATGAGGACACCTGGACTTCATGTCCACTCCGTGCTTTATGGCTGTCCTCCCTACCAGCTTGTACAGACGACTCATGCTCAGCACATATAAGTCAAGTTTAGCCAAGCTTCAAGAACACTGCAATAATCCACAGGACGTTTATGGGGCAAAGCGTAAGGGATGCGTACCTCTTTTCTTTCCGTTTGAATTTGCCTCCGGACGGCAACTCAGAGGCGCGTCTCCCCTCCACTGGTGTCTCATGTGAGGACGCTAATCCAGGCCCTTTTGTGGTCACCCTGGGCACCAGTGACTCCGTAGGTGGTACCGACATCTGCGTAGGTCGGAGGTGGTTATGAGGTGCGGTCAACAGCACCAGACATGTGTCGCCCAGGGCCAGCTGGCGACAAATTATGCCGCAATGGAGGTGAGCCAGTTGCGGCTCCCAGGCTGACCAACCAAACGTTCGCACGAAGAAGGGGTTGTAGGCGCCGCATCGATGCTCGAAAGTGAGTGTCAGCTGAAAGAAGGGGGGAGGGTGGGAAGAAGTAGTGTGTGGTCGGTCATTTGGTCGGTTTGCCCTGAAGTGAGCATGACTGCGTGTTGTTTTGGCATTCGACTACAATCTGCTGGAGTGTTGTCAGGAGAAATGCTCCCATTCCTCATACTGTGAACCATACTTTTTGAGGACACGGATGCATCGGTGGAGGACCATGTGCAGATAGCCCAGGAAATTGGTAGTTATTCCATGAACTCCGAAACCTTTGTGTACAGGGAATGCAGCATGGCAGTCGTGTAAACTATCAAAAAATCTGGTCGATCGTGAGAAAGTCTCCAGCATTAAAAAAGTTTGTTCGAATGGATTGGACAAATTCCGTAGACGCACCACTAATGAACCACTTGAATCTTTGTCATGTATTTAGAACATTTAATACGTTAAATTTTTTCATATTCATAACCTTTTTCTTTATTTAACCGCATATAACTGCTCAGTAATCACATATTCTTCATCCACTTCGCACAATCAGCGATCTGTTGCTGTTAGTAATTATTCTTTAGATGCTGTTTGATTATCTGCAGACTGTGAATCAATGTGCTTTTTTCTTATGTATCTTAATTAACTCCTTTGACATTTCACAATTTCAGTCATGCTAGTGAATATGCATTCTTTTCAGACGCCTTTGCGTAAATAGTACACTGCGTTCAACGGCTTGGTTTTCAGAACGTACACATCACAAAAATGTGTAGCATATTAGTAATTCTAACATTTCCTTAAAAGTTAATTTATGACCTCCAGAGCATGCATAAATGTTTACTGGACATTGTTTGTACCTGGAAATTATCAGTTAGTTGAATGCTTTATTCGGGAAACCCTCTAAAATCATAGCCAGTTGGGACCTCACCAGACCGAGAATTCCGCAGTATAAAATAAAAACAAGATTATTAGTTACAAAGCAATAAAATATGAGCACGCTTCATCTTTCCTGCGATGATTACGGCCAATAGGAAAGCCAAGTTTGACAAAGGACTAGTGAACTGCAACTTTACTTTTGAGTTGTGTTAACTGCCCACATTTCCGTCTGCACGACTCACCTCCTGGCACTCTTTCATGCATTTATTTATCCCTTTACGGCAGGCAGAGTGCCACTCTTGAGTGCTTAACGCCTCGCCTCTTCCGTGGGCGTTAAACCTCCCCTAATAAGCTCATGTCACTTACAGTGCCTTTCCGCCCCCTCCCCCATACTCTTTATTCACGCACACAATATCCGTTGTTGCTGTTCAAGAGGGACTTCAGTTGCAAGTCGGATGGAAGTGCCTAACGAGTATGTCTGTAGTAGAAACCTCTTCAGTTGGCTCTACAGTCTGCAGCCACCATCCTACTAGGACTGACAGAGGTCCCGGTTCCACACGATGAGAATGCTTGTAAAAACGTCGTGGGGAAATACTAGGACGACACCAAATTTTGGACATAACGCGAACTAGCTTAGGAAAGTGTGTAGGGGTTTGAATCTTTGCTATTGACGGCAGCTTCCTAACTAAGCGCATAGTAGCCTAGCATGTAAAGCCCTCTCACAGTCAGTCTAAACAAACTGTTATGTTGGTCGTTCTACTAGATATAACTACAAACATTGGTAGCTACTTTTGAGTCAACAGTAGAACTTCGTGATTTTATACAATTCATTACAGGGCCAGCAAGCGTTTGGGCAACGTTAATACACAAAGCCCTTTAAATTGGGACATATTTATGAACTAGGAACTAACAATGACGCATACAGGACTCCTGATGCACATGGAAATGTTTGTTCCATGGCGCACCTGGGAGGAGAGAGGACTGATTGCAGGGACAGGGAGTTAATTCAAATGACGCTTCAAACTCACTGGCAGGGGCAGCAACAAATATAAGTGAAGAAAAAGGGGGATCGAGCACCCGAACATGTTGTTTATTGTTCTGAGCTTCCGAACTCGTGCAGTAGCCCATCATCAGTAGTACTCGATCCCTCTTCTTCTTCACTTATGCATACACCTGGAACTCGAACTTTCGCCTTCATTCGTGACAAATATACAGTGAGTGTCCGATCTCATCAAATGTTGGGTGGAAATCTGAAATGCGTTTTTCATTAGGAAGGATAACTTGGCGCGGTTGTAATAATGATTATCTTGCGGCCTAATCCTATAATATTTCGGACTCGGCAGGACGTCAGCTTTTGCATACGGTGCGTTTGAACCTCGTATAGAAACTTTACTCGGCAAAAAATGGCTACTTAAGTAGCATGCATATCTTCCATTGATTTTCAATAACCTTACAAATAGAAATATATTTTATAGAAACCCTAAAAATATGCTTTCTTTCCGTCGTTTGATAATAAGTAATACAACTGCGCCTAAGTAGTCTTTCCTAATGGAAAACTCATTTCGGAATTTTAGCCAACATCTCATGAGATCGGTTACTCACTGTAGGTGACTAACACACAGTGGGTACGGTATTTATAAGATGCAGTTGTCGTATAACTAAACGCTTGTCAAAATTATTGCATCACGTGCGGACGTCTACCGGCGATTGCACGGTAGATTCATCCCACGAATACTGCACGTCCGTGCATCCGCTAACTATACCTGTTGTTCTTACTAATGATGGGTTTGAGAGTGAACTCTAAACTTCGGATAAATTAAATGTATGCTCCTTAAACTCGAAAGATAGGACTCATTCATCTTCTCTCACCACCCACTGTGAATTAGAGTGAGGGTGCATTTTTCTTTTATTATTTTTCTGCTGCTCTGCAAAACGTAGACAGGAGGCATAAATGAATGCGCAATACTTTGAAGTCCAGAGGAAAGACGACAGTACAACGTTCAAGAGTCGCAGTCCCAGTAGGACTTCCGATTGTTAATCTAGATTTTGACAAATAAACAAAATTTGCCTGGATGCGCGGGTTCAAAGTGACGGTTATTCACAGTGGGAATACACCTGATGGGTAGAGAAAACTTTTGTTTACTGAATTTATTTGGAGTCCGGGTACCTTTTACTCTGATATGTATAACAGAAAGTAGTAAATGGAGTAGGATCATTTGAATTATTTCCACGATTGGCAAAACGCGGGCGTCAATCACGCGTATACCGGAATGCTGGCTAAAAATGGCTTCTGCACGTATGATGAAATCGAAATAATTTGGTGTTTTATTTGTGACGGGATCCCAAGTTGTTGTTTAGAACGCCTGACCAGAGCCCATATGATGTTAGTATTCAGATATTGATAGACATTTTTCATATTTTCTAGGGAAGTTAATGCGATTAACTTGACACTTTAACGAGAAAGCTTGTTCATTTGAACAAAATAATCAGCTACTAAGGAATGAATGCCTGTTCAGTAAGATTGTTGTGGACGAGAACATCGCCTTTATCCGAATAATGGTTGCGGCTTTTCTGAAAACCACTCAATTCAGTTGGGTCAAGTGCGGTGTAAAGAAGACACGAATGTTGTGGAGGTAAAGCTTTTTGCCTGCGAGAACAGTCTGTATTCTATCAAGTCGTTTGAAGGAATGTACGCAAAATATTTGATGTCGCTGAGGAAATTTTCCAAGTGAATGAAGTCTTCGAAAATGTCTGGAAGGAATGTTTCGCTTTTGGAGTTTAAATGACGAACTTTACTTTAGTTCTGGTCCACGACGCGAAGCCGCGAAAGATAGCACACCGTACGCCGCATCTACTTTTCCAAAAATACTACATGTGAATATACTATCAAGACTTCTAATTGGCTGTATGCAGTAGTGAAAGGGCTCATCATTATAGTTGCTTGGGATGACGTCAGTAGAGGAACCAGCTATGCACAATTTAAAGAAAAATTTCCAGGCCAACGTTCTCATGACTCATCCAACACATATTACTGGAATACTGAAGACAAAAGCTTCGCAACTAAATTTGCTCAATTTGTCTAAATTTCTTAGAAGTTCACAGAAAACTGTCGATTAGAGTCTGTTCTAAATAACACCCAATAACCGCATAATGTATATGCCTGAAAAGGTCGACATCTGCTATTGTGATAGCAGTGGGAGGTGGGAGAGGACGCAGGTAGCTGGCACGGTGAAAACCTGCACCTCAGTATTACGAAACCCCCCCCCGTCCACAACGTACACTGACCGGAAAAAAGGGAGCGGGTCGGAGCAAATTAGCGCGGCACGAGCCTGCACCTTGGCGTGTCGCTATACCGATTGTTGGCTTTTTTTTATGAGTGCGCATTCCCGATCGCGCCTGCCGGACTCCAATCTGGCCCTCGCGTTGGTTCGGCGCATCTAATGCGCGGCCCGTTTTAGAAACAATAATTCTCATATGCACTCATCCTATACACTTCCAAATAAGGTGTCGAATTTTTATTACTTCACCGTGTAAAAATGTATTGTACACAGAGGTCCGTCAGCGGACTGCAATATCGAAGCGCTCTTTAAAAATATAATTAATAAGGCAAAGTTTTTAATTGATAGGAAGCACATGCATTGTCGTCTTTTTTTTGAACACTCATTTGATTGGACTGTGGCGACACAGCGGCTAGAGTAAGTACTCTGTGTCCTTGTCTGTGCGCTAGCATCCTCGGGTCAGATCCCAAGTTGAGGAGAGAAGACGGAAGAAACCAGAATGAGGGGTTTATTGTGCACAGAACCCGGAGTTGTCCTCTCAGGCGACAGTGGCCACTGACGAAGCCAGGGCTGGTGTTGACTGCGTCCAGTCAGGCCTGAGAGTCCTTGAGATAGTGGTGGCAGCCGCTTTTGTAGGCTCGTAGGCCAGGCTCAATTGGTGGCCAACCAGCGTGCGTTGCATTTGCCGAGGGGTGGTGTCCCAGTGGCTTGTTTTGCTGGTTGCAGGGGGTGGCGCGTTCAAGTGGCCGCATGGGCAGCTGCGACTGCGCGGACGCAGGTATGCCCGAGCTGTTGGTCGTGTGACTTCAGGTCAGCTCGTCTGGGACGGCTCGCTGCAAAGGGGTGAATGACCTTGAGGCAGCGAGGTCTTGAACAATGACGCCGGGCCAGTCATGATGGCTAGCCGCCACAGCTCCCCGCCAGGCACAGAACGAAGTGATTGTGTCGATCGTGAGGCAGGCGATGATATGTGTGAAATTATCCAGTGCACATACGGGTTTGAGAGCGTGTGTCAATGATAGGAGTAGCTAGGACCGCGTGTTAAAGGGGATGCTGCGACCTGTAGAAAGGTGCAGTTGGGGCATCAACCCTGGGTGTGCTGGCGTGGTCTCGTCAACGTGTGCCGGTGAGTTGGCACGTTGGTATGAGACGGAAGAACGTTTCGGACACAAGGCATCCCAGTGAGTGCTGAGTCGGACGAATGCGTCAGGGAAATAGGTTCACTGTCATCCAGACACAAAATTGGGAGAGAATACAGTGTCGAAAGTGTGCAAGTTCATCGCTGTATATACGGTAGCATAATGAGTGTATGCAAGGGACTCACGAATGACGATTTTGTCGGTAATAGGCGGAAGAATGTCTCGAACAAAAGAGAGGCGTTTAGATAGCAACACATTTGGAGGACTGCTCTGCACTGTTTGATTGAGGTTTGACCTGGGCTTGTATGACTGAGTTTTGTTGATAGCATCCATCTCGAATCGCGACAGGTAGTCGGTAGCCGCGTTTTCCTGTTCGTGGACATGATGAGTGACACCGGAAAAACAGCAGGGCGAAGTCGAGTGGGAATTCTGTGGCGGTTGAGTTCAGCCACGTCTGGAGATTGCGTGTCGATCACGTCGGGTTTGTCACCAATTTGTGGCGACACAGCGGCTAGAGTAAGTACTCTGTGTCCTTGTCTGTGCGCTAGCATCCTCGGGTCAGATCCCAAGTTGAGGAGAGAAGACGGAAGAAACCAGAATGAGGGGTTTATTGTGCACAGAACCCGGAGTTGTCCTCTCAGGCGACAGTGGCCACTGACGAAGCCAGGGCTGGTGTTGACTGCGTCCAGTCAGGCCTGAGAGTCCTTGAGATAGTGGTGGCAGCCGCTTTTGTAGGCTCGTAGGCCAGGCTCAATTGGTGGCCAACCAGCGTGCGTTGCATTTGCCGAGGGGTGGTGTCCCAGTGGCTTGTTTTGCTGGTTGCAGGGGGTGGCGCGTTCAAGTGGCCGCATGGGCAGCTGCGACTGCGCGGACGCAGGTATGCCCGAGCTGTTGGTCGTGTGACTTCAGGTCAGCTCGTCTGGGACGGCTCGCTGCAAAGGGGTGAATGACCTTGAGGCAGCGAGGTCTTGAACAATGACGCCGGGCCAGTCATGATGGCTAGCCGCCACAGGACTATGAGGGTTCCTGTGACCCAAGCGACTATCTACATGAAAAAGAACACCTTAACACTCACTACATCGATACCACCATCGACACCACGGTCTCTTCGTCAGTGGAATTCCTGGAGAAACTCAAAGGGGTAGGCATCCATCCAAATGAGGTCATGGTATCTTTTGCTGTTACATCACTTTTTACTTCTATTCCCCAGGACCTGGCGATCGAGACAATTGAGCTGCTTCTACAAAGCAAATACGATGAAACGGAGAACCGTCTTGGACACGCCCAAATCCTTCAGTTCCTGAAGCTCTGTCTCAGGACGTACTTCACGTTCAACGGGACAATCTACGAACAGGTGAAGGGCACACGAATGGGTTCGTCGATTTCGGGATTCATCGCCGAGGCGGTCCTGCAACGGTTAGAATCGCTGGTCTTCCAACGCCACAGACCGAAATTCTGGGCCCGGTATGTGGATGACACCTTCGTCGTCATCGAACGGGATCAGGTGTTGACATTCCAAGAACATCTCAACACCGTCTTCCCGGACATTCAATTTACAATGGAGGAGGAAGAGAACAACCAGCTGGCCTTCCTGGATGCCCTCGTAAGTCGCAAAGATTGTGGTGAACTAAAAACCAAAGTGTTCAGGAAAGCGACAAATACGATGCAAGTACTGAACTTCAACAGTAACCACCCAATCAGCCACAAACACAGTTGTGTAAGGACGCTCTATCGGCGTGTCGAAACGCACTGCAGTGAGCCGGAAGACAAAATTGCCGAACTACAATACCTCCGACGGGTCTTCAAAGCCAATGGCTACCCGCGCAACTTCGTCGACCGGTGCATACGCAAAAGAGACGAAAGGCCTAAGCGCACGGACACCAAATCTTGGCGGGCACTTCCGTATGTCAAGAACGTTTCGGAAGCTGTCGGCCGCCTTCTCGCACCACTTGGGGTTGGAGTGGCACACAGACCGGAGGCAACCATCAGGCGTCTGGTCATGAAACCGAAAGACCCACTGCCACGGCTAGAAACGTCTGGAGTCGTTTATCGGATCTGGTGCAGTTGCGGACAAACCAACTACGTCGGAGAAACCGGAAGACAGCTCCGAACAAGAATGGCCGAACACGCGGCAGCGGTGCACAGAAATGACGCCAGCTCTCAAGTTGCGGCTCATTCGACAATATCCGGCCACACATTCAAATTCGATGAGGCCGAAATTCTCGCAAAAGGTGACAACCGCGTGAGCCGGGAGCTACTGGAATCATGTTTTACTGGCCCCCAGTCCATCAACAAGTGCAACGATCTTCCCACTCCATACTGCGTGCTAAAATTTCGCCTAGGCGGAGTAACAAGCCATGCGGGGAGCGCAGAGGTGAACACTTTTCCCAACACCGGGGTCGGTGCGTCAGATGGTCGAGCAATCATCACGCCAACATCCAACGCACGTGATGAAATTGCAGCAATTATCGACTCGAATGTCGGCCATCGAGCAGTGATCACACCAATTGCGACGATCCCGGATGAAGGGGGGAGCCGTGAATGTTCATAGGTATGCGGTAGCATGGCTACTGCATCCTATAAATACCGCAGCCCCTTGTGCAGCAACCATCCGTTTCTGCTTTTTTGTCTCTGATGATGGATTCGAGTAGGAATCCGAAACGTCAGGCTAATAAAGCTCTTGTCCCGGCGATCGTGTCTCCTTCTTCAACACTACTTCCTGGGACTCGTCTCTTCGCTTCTATTGAAAATCCTGTTTGCCTTAGTGAATAGTATCTCACTTAGTGCAAAAACGAAAAATGCAGAGAACTCTCGGGAAACTGTTTTGGAATGAATGCTCAGAATGCTGGCTGTTAGCAAACCGCCACACCGGATATGACGCCAATTCGTAAAAGATATTAAAGTGTTAACTTCACCAAAACACTAATGCAAATCGTTAATCTATTTGTGCTGTAAAATTTACTTACTTTCGCATAGTCGGATGTTCCGTACACCTGAAACTGGAATTTACTCAAATACAACCATTCCTGAATTTTTCGGAATTTTCGTCCTTCAGAGAGGTCTGTATTTCTAAACACCGCAATATTGCTCATATTTCTTTTGTGTTTTCAACTCCCCGCATTAATACAGATATTGCATCCATAGGCCGTTATTCCTGAACTTGAACACCTTTCATCTGACATTTATTTTGTTTGGATTATATCATTTATCGTCGACATTTGCATACATAAACTTATACATGTGTATATTTGAAGTTATTATGTACTTCAATTTTATAGGAACTGGAATTTTCTTAAAGTGTGTTGTGCAAAGAAAGTACAGCTTAGGCTTTTTGGAGTACGTAAATATGAGCAGTTTCAGACTAACTCACAATTGCTTTAAGGTGGACTTGTATTTGTACGTCGATCAACGCTAATTTGATAAGCCATAATACCATTAGTATTAATAAACACCGTATAAACGCTGCAGATTGATAAAGAAAACGTATGCTTCCGTATGGGAGGACAAAATGCCTTTTGTGATGAAGCGACAATCTCAGGAATGGAAAAACAGCTTTTATGCAAAAAATACCGGAGGTCTTTAACGATCGCTCAACTTGCAGGACTATGTGGGGATAAAACAGGAACCCTAGGACTTTGATCAGGAAGTATATTTACCTAAATATCATTAAACGACCCATTGATTGTGGGCAGTTTATGAAAATATCATCAAAGATAGTGGATTTTAGCTGAAATATTCGGTCAACTTTTAGGCTGAGCCTGAAAAGTTTTGTCCCGAATGCCTTTCTCCAAGGTCCTACGCTACTTCCTAATAAACCGCTAAAGCAAACATATTCAATCTTGATTATTAATGCGAGCTCCCCTGAGAATATGTCCCATACGCTATACCCTTGAAGCATTTCATTCATTGTCATATGAGGACTGAATCATGCGTCGAAAAAATATATTTCCATAAGAAATATCATGTATTTGCAAATACATTGATTTTAAATAGCACGGTTAGGATTCTTTCACTTTTAGAGTGCTTATTCTCTCCAATTCACATAAACACACTAACTCATTATTCATTTGAGTTGTCCGAGGAGGTCTTGGTGTGATGTTCCCTCGCAGCCTGGTCGTTGGTGTTTTTCAGAGAGTCGACACTTGGGAATACTCTGTTGACATTGATTCTCTTCGTAGATGGCCAGGGCAGGCTGTGGAAAGGTAACCGACTTTTGAAGAAGAAGCTTCGCTTGTAGATTGCTTTTGTTTCTTTGGACAATCTCCAAAAATAGTTCTTGAGAAGGAGCAGCCACCAGCCCATAAAGCAAAAGTAGGTCAGAACTGTCAACCTTCTAATAGACCCGTCAGCATCTTAGACAACCTCAGACATAGAAGTGATTTCGCGCTCAAGTCCATTATGCTTCTTGCTTTCGAGGACAAAATGTATTCTCACCCACTTGCTAATTCACTGCAAAGTGAGAACAACTAACTGACTCGATGGCTGCCTCCGGTCTGTGTGTCTCGATTTGATTTTAAATTTTGTCAAATTTGCTTGACCGTTAATGCTGACAAGGGTAACTTCACAGATGCCTGCCTGACGGGCCTTGCTTCACGTAGGCGCAGTCTCACCTGCTTGTGTCTTTTGCGTTTGCTTCACCCTAGAGGTGTGTTTAATGTCTAACGGTTACGCAATTCAGAAGGACTGCGTCTCCTCTCCTACGCAGTTCCTAGATGGACAATTAATTTCCCAGTGCCTCTGATCGTCTACCGTAGGTGGTGTCGTATGGAAACCGGGTTGGGGAGGTGCGCGTAAGGCAAGTCTGGTTATCCGAAGTGTAAATGTAAGTGAAAGTTTGATGGTCCCGAAGGACTTCTCTGACAACGGTAGGGTGAAGGACCCTAATTAGCTGTTGGTGGGCTGTGGATCGTATGTGCCTACTTAAGAAACCTAATTAAATTCTAGCGACGCCGTTTTACCCAAGAGCGAGGGCACAGAAGTTGGACATTAACTGGGCATGAATAGAGGGATATCAGATATGTCTGCCAGGTGATAGTCTCAGTTGCTCAATGGTTGGGCACAATTTCAAGATGGTGCGTCATAGAATATCCAGTTGAATGCCGCATTTGTATAAATTCATCATTTTACTCGAAAATACCGTTTTTACCACGAACCGTCCTCTGTTTTTTCCTGAATTCCATCAAAATACTATCCGGCGTGCTGTCCCACACGTAAAAGTCCCCATGACCACCATTTCTGTATGACACGATCCACAGTATAGACTTTTTCAGACAAAAGTATTTTGTCATCCATTAAATCAAATTTCTTGCCTGTTGGAATGCACGGATAATGGGGGTTTGAATGTTGCCTTGCAGCATAACAATGGGTGCATTAGCCACAACGAATTAGATGTTCCATCATCTGCAAGAACAAGTAGCTATTCTAGATTGTGACCCACTTTTATGTTGATTTAATAGGCATTTGATTGCTGACATGCAAACTGTAACTGACAGTCAGTACTATTTGCTCTACAGGTTCGCATACCGTGGATGTCAGTAAGGGCACGATGAATGCGCAATCTATCTTTCAGCGCAAAATTTGAAGAAAACGGAATGCGCTACCAAATGAGTGAAAGGAAAAACACTTTTGTACATGGTTTTACAAAATATATTTGAATTTATTAGGGCGTCGAACATCCATGCGAAAAGTCCACGCTACTAAAAAACTCACTTCTGATGAGTGGTAGTTCACGCAAGAGGCCGATAACTAGTTTGTTTGAAAGCCGGTATCCTGACGCAAATGAAATAGTTTAGGAATAATTACTATGAAAAGGCTACTCAAGGATCTTTTGGAACTAAAAAAAGGTCCGGACTTCGGTTAACATTTCATGACATAGCATATATATTGTATATGTGTTTAATGACGATGACCTTGAGGTCAAAGCTCAACTGGCATCCTACAATTAAAAGAACTACATGCTAAATTCCACAACAATGACATAATGAACACGCCATAGACTGCACAGGAGTGGTAGACCGGTTGATCCTTTGTACGAAGTACTCACAGTCCCTCTTAGTATATCCGTTCGCTGGTACGACTAGTTTGGCTTACCCAGTGCAGAGTTCAGGACTGCGCACCAGCATATACCATGATTTGAGGTGGATAATCAGGTCCTGACAATAGCCATTTCGTCCATGATTCAGGTGCGAGGGCAAGTACAGCATCGTTTTCAAACATAAAATATCCAGCTCTGTAATTAGTAAGGTAGGATGGCTAGAACAGGAAGCAGGTTTGCCGATCAGTTTCACAGGATAGACTACCCTAAAAACCAAACGTTAACTGGCGTATTATTGGTTCTACGTCTTATGCGAACCTGGTTCATTCAAAACGCTGACATATGAAATTAATGTGGCGTTTTTGGCAATGTAGAACTCAGATGCCAGGCGGTACGTAGCCTGCCGAACAAGGCCATGACAGTGCTGATGTCAGATCAATCATTACCTCTTCGTTTTCATCTGATCCAGCTGTCGAGACCATCACATTATGTCTGCAAAGTAAAGAAGATGAATTGAATTGACAAATCGGGTGAGTCCAACTCCTCAAACCCCAGAATTTCTAGCTTAAACGCTTTTCAGTTTTGAACGGACAGTTTTTGAGTAAGTGAAAGGTGTCCCAATAGGTTCATGGTTCCTGGATTAATGGGAGGGACGGTCGTGCTGTTGATAGATTCACTTGTCCACCAACACCGCGGAACGGAAGTTCGTTCTCAGTATGTGGGTGGTAGCTTTGTCGGTGTCGAATGAAATCGGGTGTTGCCACTCAGATAAAAATATGACCTCTCTCTTCCTGCACAGTATAAGCAATGATTTCGGGAGAAGACAGCTGAATTCTAGTTAGGTAAGATGAACTACATGTGTCGGTCAGAAGGACTGGCTGCTGAAAACCAACGCTATCGGCCAAGCAACCTCCTCAATGATGGCCTTTCAGGATGAAGCGAACATCGTTCGTCTTGCCGACAATTCAGCTCGAATAGGGCATATCAGTCAACAGAAATAAAGGAGGTTGGCCTACAGGGGATGTTTTATGAATGTTGGTAGTGAGTAAAAATCTATCAAAATTCAGAAGTGTGTGAAATGCACCGCCAAAACATTTCACATGGACAATTTCAAAACGTAGTCCCATTTAAACGAAATGGGCAGATAAATTAATTAAAACTAAGACTTTTTAGTACCTTCGCCTGGTCAGTACGACGTCTCACAGTGTGCCAAATTATAGGCAGTCAAGAGGTTGCAGGCGGCAAAAATGTAGAGGACGTCACGCCGTGAATATATGCGAATTGAGTGTTCATACTAAGTAAAACTGCAATGGATTTGGGTGTTCTGTCCCACTGTATACTGGCTAATGCAACACAAAACAACGCTTCTCACTGAGGTTCATTTGATAGTCTCGGTTTGACGGCAGACTCAGGAGGTCTTATTTTCATAAATAGCAGTGAAAATGCGATTCCCCGCTGACATTTCAAAAGCAGAAGAGGCGTCCACCGGGAGAGGTTTATTGAGGGTCTGGCGTTTC